TCAGTGCAGCAGCACAGCTTCCTGCGGTTTTGAGGCTCAAGTCTGGCTGACCCTCCTCTGACCTGCCACCCCCTCTCTACAGTGCCCTCTCTCCTTGTGTGTGTGTGTGTGTGTGTGTGTGTATGTGCGTGTTGGCTCTCTGCCTACAAGAAGTAGTGCTGCCAGTCGGGCTCACTGGCAGGGTGGCAGGCACTTACTGAGCAGTTCAGCCATATTTGAAGAGGAGTGGATTACAGAGCTTCTCCCTCTGAACACGTAAAAGACACGGAGAGGCTGTTTTCCTCTGATAGAGGTTGACTATGAGCCCACCATTACCTGCATACTCTTTTACATATGACTTCAGGATTCATGCTAATGGGGCTTCAGCATGGCGTCCCCCTCGCTTAGAGACACCTTTGCTCTACTGCAGGATGCTTCCCACTGAGCCTGGAGAAGTGGCTGCGAGCCGCTCTTCATCTGATGTGGTGAAGTTAACGATAAGCCACACAATGGTGGGATTTATTATTATTATTCCTGTGTTTTCAATTAGTTTGGGTTTTCCACCTCTGAAGAACAGCGCTCAGCCGCTGCACTAAGCTGGGTCTCATGAGTCTGGAACACAGTCCTTAGTCTGTCAGATGGTCTGAAGGTGTCATGACCATATCTGCAGAGCAACAAAGTAAAGCACAGCAGGATGATTTATTCTAATTCATTTGCAACTTTAGTTTCGTAATATTACTTTTTTCTCAAAATATTATGACTTTTTAGAGAACACAGATAAGCAAGTAAAATGTATTTATAAAGCGCTTTTTACAGACATAAGTCACAAAGTGCTTAACAGGGCAGAATTACAAACTTGAAAAACCCAATGTGACCATCGGGCCAATAATTCACAGATGTGTGGGATATGTTTTGAAGAGTAGCAGAAGTCTTTCTGAAACACACATGAACTACTAAATCATTGACTTGAATAGGTGCCACATGCACATTGAAAGAGGTTACTTCCCCCACGCAAAAGAGGAAGTAAACAATGTCTACATGTGTGTTTACTCAGCAGAGAGTAAATATTTGAAAGCACCATATTCCATTATATTTTGAATTGTCAACTGTTGCCTGAATTATGTGTTTTCCTTTACATAAATAAATACATTTCCAACATAGATTGATTTAAAATGTAGTGTTTGACGCTCAGAATTTCCAGAGAGGGCCTCCGGACCCCCTGCTTCATATGTGTCATATTTGGGGATCTAATCTAATTGAGTGACAGAAACAAGCCTGCAGTACCACCTGTATCCATTAGGAGGTAGTAAATCATTAGAGGCTGTGTGTGTTTTTTTAAGAGTAGCAGGTACACAGATACACTTAACATGTGATGTGGTCATTCCAGCGCCATCTGATCAGATCGCTGTGCTTCTTCTAACAACAGAATCACATGATCACAGTGACCTTCAACACCTCTGCGTGGACACTGTGTCGCCTCTCTCTCTGTCTGTATTTTATGATCTAGATGTGACTGTGCTTCCTCCCACCTCACCCTGCCTGTCTCACTCCCGTCCTCTCCCCAGGTTGGCTTCTTTCCCAGCGAGTGTGTGGAGCTCATAAATGACAAAGTGCCGCAGTCCATGACCAACACGGTGCCCAAACCAGGTATTCCTCCTCCTCTCAAACCACTCACAGGATGTGTGTTGGAGGGAAGTTATTATCATGCCGGTTGATGTCTCACTGATATGACTGCATTTTCAGGAAGTGGGGAGGTCTGTGATGGATGACGTGGCTCTGGGCGTGTGTATGTGTGTCACATCTTTCCAGCAAATATTGTTGCTGGTCTGACAGATCTGTGTCATGGAATGGATTTTGTTTTAAAAATACGAGCTCTACAGTGGATTTATAGTCTTTAACATCTTTACACAAAATGAGAGAAATGTAGTGGAGTTAGAGATGTAACCTGAAAACTGAATTTACATATATACAGTGCCCCGTTAAAGAACCGAATCACATTATAATTATCAGTGTAATAGATATAATACAACTTCAATTTATGAGCATGTAACAGTGAAAGGAAACCCATAATTCTGACCCCTGATATAACCGGCTTATCATGTTATGTTGAGTCAGCAGCGCTATGCAAACTACTGTACTAATCTGTTGCTGTCCAGAGCAAACAGTTAAGCCCCTCAGCACGCGCACGAGAGTGTCAAAGACAAGTACATAATGGAAACCTGGAATCAAAAAGAACCCGGAACAACATTTGGCGGCTTCAGTCTTGAGATGAACTTAAACTTTGCCCTGACTTCTTCACACACCGAGTTACACACTTTAAAAATAGCAGCTCGCGTCCTGTTTCTATGACCGAGCCCTTCTGATTAAAACCTCTTCTTGTACAAATCCACGTCTTACAAATCTAAAGATCGATCTCACCAATATGGCTCACTGACACAACCACCCGGCTGGCTTCTAAGGGGTGGGGCTCTTAACCATCGAGAAAGCCTCAGAAAGACTCCGAGGTCTGCATGAAGTGCTGACACCGTGGAAAAAACCCCCCCACCAGATCCACAACTACGAGGGAAGGGATGTCATTATAGGCGCCGGGTTTCGGGTGCTGTTGGACGCCCATGTGCCAATCAGGGGTTCAAACCCAAAGTTTTTTTTGAGGCTTTCAGACTGTGTGGCTGAACATAAATGCATCTGGTGGTGTAGAGTTAACTGTTGCAGTGCACGCACAGCCTGCTCCCCACACGGCCCACCACTTATTCTGCCTGCCCACTCCCCTGCTTCTGAGCAACGATTTAATGCTTGTTGCTGTTGTTCCGTTTGTTTTTTGCATGTGTCCTAATTTATCAATCATGCTTCTTTTTTTTCTTCACTGAGTATCCGCAGGTCAAGTCCATTTTTTTAATATCCTGAATGTAGTCTAAAAATTTTCTTTTGAATTGCTCATTTTTACACATTTGTGTTATTTATTAGTTAACTTTCTTCAATATGAAATATGTGGCTTGTTTGTAATAATCTCATTAGCAATAATCAAAATCTAATATTTGGGTTTCTATAACCTGCAGATGCCCTGTTCAAATGAACAGATCCTGGATCAGGTTCCTAATCGGCAGCAGAGCGAAAAACTAAATGTAATGGCGTTGAAGCTGCCCGTTTGTTCTCCGCTGCGATGCGTCATTAATGCTGTTGTTGGATGTGCAGTAGCGTTAGCATGTGTCTTGATTTGTTGCATCTGACTGTGATTCCTCTGCCTCAGCCTCCCCCTGCTCTGGCCTGCAGCCTGCTTCTTGGAGTCTCTTCCCTCCCTGTGCGTGCTGGTATACACACCTCATCCACCTGTCAACTCACCCCGCATTCACTCAGCTCGCACACACAAAAAAGCATTTTTACACTCGTATGACTTGGATGTAATTAAAGTTCTAATCCTAAAGACTTCTTTCCCCGTTGATTTGATTCCTGTGGTGTGGTTTAATGCTACACCTCGCAGAACTCCTTGAACTGCTAATTTGTCAGAAATACAACAAAAGAGCAACTAGTGCATCTTTTTGACAGTTGTGACCAACAGGTTTGCATTGTTTTAACAAAGAAGTTAGTCAATAATTGGCCTTTTTTCCATCATGCCATGAGCAACCTCCATCTGATTTTATGCTGTAGTTTTATGAAGTGGTTTTCCACACAACAGCAGGGAAACCAAACATTGTTGGTTAGCTTGCTGAGGAGTTGGAGGTGTGCAGAATCTCACCTGCAGCCTGTCAACAGCCCACTGTGGTGGTTCGTTAGTTTGCCATTACCCCCTGAAATATTTCAAACGGATCCAAAAAATGCCAAAAATGTTGACACACCTGCGTTTCCTGTGACTGCCTTACAAGTGCTGGCTGTTTCACAGGTTCAGTGTTTTTAATGTGGCAGCAGCAGGAAATTAGCATTGTCAGTACCTTAAAGGGATAGTTGGGGTGTTTTGAAGTGGGGTTGCATGAGGTTCTTATCCATAGTCAGTGTGTTTCCTACAGTAGATGGAGGTTGGAGAAACAGACGTTAATACCAGCTTGGCAGCAAAGCAATGTGCTGCTGTGGACGGGGGCAGCAGCTAAACGTATTTTAGATGCCTAAAGAAATCATCATCCGTTAAAGTGATAGAGAGGAAAGCAATGTACTGCAGTGAAAATATTCTAAATAGAAAGTGAACTCTCTGTTTCTCCAAACTCCATCTGCTGTAGTTAAAACACCGACTATGGGGAAGTACCTCATGCAACCGCACTTCAAAACATCCAAACTATCCCTTTAACACCGCTCTGACAGGGTGTGGCAAACAATGAGGCTGATATCAATCGGATCAAATTACAAACGGTAATGCGGGATTACATGCTGCATCGTTTCCCTCGCGTGTGCAAATTTAATCTTGGGCAGGAATGGCGGACCCCGCCACCAACAATGACAACTACTAGAAATAGAACAGAATATAAATGCTCTGAGTGGCTACTGCTGAAAATAATGCTGACTATAAATTATGAATAAAAATTTCAAGAAAGTCTTAAGGATTATAACTTTAGAGTTAAATTAAAGTAATCTCACAAAACAAGACTTGTTTTATTGATAAATGCAATGTTTCTTTAATTGAGTGTACTTCATGACGAAGCATTTTACTTTTGTTTTCACACTGTCTCACAGAGCAGTTTATTGCTTCAGCATCAAAGTATCATTTCTATGCAAATCCACTGACCTCACAGATCCAAAGTACACTGTTGCCCTGTTCTCTAACTTGAAGTGCTTCTCTCCCTCTACCGACTCTCTCACGTCTCCCATCATCCATCCAATCCATCTGTCTGTGGGTCCATCTGTCCATCGGGCTGCATGCAGACTTGGAGATGGAGAGTGTAATACAGGACAGTGCATGGGTGGCCGACCCGCTAAACCACTACAGCCTAAGTTCAGGTAGACAAGAACCCTTTGGTCGTGTTGCCCCGCCGCTCCCTAACCAAAACACTAACTCCACAACCACGGTGATGTGTTTGCACTTCTTATATGTCTAGTCTATACCTGTGATAGCAGCTTGCGATGTGGGTTATAGCTTCACTCTTTACGCAGGAAAATGTTCACTTCTTGGTGTTGCATTACAAGTTTTCACATCCTGATAGATTGTCCATAACCTTTAACACACTTATCCACGTTATCTCAGCACTCTGTGGGTGGACCAATAAGACATGTGAGCGTGTCTGTGGATATGGGTCTTTTTTTCCTCCACTGTTTGTGAACTTTCTTTCACTTTAATTGCTCTAATCTCACATAAGAAAAGGTCTGTATGATGCAACACTTGCCATACTCTCCTCCCCTGTTAAGTTTGTTCCCTAAATTCAGGCAGATTCCTTTTACATAATAAGATGATTGTTATCGTACTGCTGTATTTTGAATGTGTTGCAGGTTTTGTCTGACTGAATGTTTTGTGTGTATGCTGCGTATAAATGTTTTTGGGATTAGATGTAGTGGCGTAAAGATGAAATCCCACCCTTTTCAAACGTTCTTCTCAAAAAGAGAACAATCTTACCCTCCACCCCTGTTCTTTTTCAGTTTCACTCCTCAAGGTGCATGCAAATGACTCCAGGGGTGAGCCAGGTTACTACAGCATTTCTCCAAGCGGCTGAATGTACGCCGTGTCTGGACGGGGGCCAGCTGTGTTTGTTGTGTGCGTCTGTTTGGTCGGAGCTGAAAGGCCACGGCACCCCTGCCGTGGCGCTCGGCCTCGACCGGCCTTGATTTATTTTAATCCTTTTACAATGAGGGGGCCTGTAAACCCGTCCATTGAGCGCCGAGCTTTGTCCCGCAACAGTAAGAATCTCTGTCTCGCTCTCCATGGTGACCGAAAGAGCACATTCCTGCAGGGAGCCACGCAGCATTGGGAAAATATGTTCACTTCTGCCTTGATCCCCTCTGCTCCACCACTAACCTTTGCTGTTCTTCAGTACAACTATGGAAGTGGCTAACACGCTGCGCCGCTCCAGCTGAAATAGAGACGATAGAAGCTAGTTATTAGTCTTCCATGTGCTTGTGATGTTTCTCAGTGGAATCGGAGAACAGAGACTACTCCCTTCACAGTAAAAAAAATACTCTTTTGTTGACATCAATGTGAAGATAAAGAGTTTTGGATGAAAACTTACAGTCTTATTTCCTCCCCCAGACAGCCCAATAGACCTACTAGTAACTGACCCAGATGTAGAACCCCCCTCCCCCCTCAGCGCAGGCCTTCATCATGTCTGGGGACCAGTGATTCGGGCAGCTGTGAAGACAGCTGGTTATGTGAGGGAGAGAGGACGGGGAAACCGGAGAGAAAATGCGTGAGACAGAGTGAGATTTGTCCTCCTGTTTCCGAGGATCTCAGGTCATTTCCTGGCCCTCTGGTTCTGGGCCGTTAAAACTATGCTAGGCCCCTTGTGTGTATCGTCTTGCTCTGTAGCTTCAATAAGAGACCGTCATTGTAGGCCGCACCTTTGTTTGGGTGGGAGGCTGCTTTTGATTACATACTAACAACTCAGGCTGTGTTGTAAACTGAGTGAGTGTGTAAAGCACATAGATCTTCTTTTTTTTTTACCCCTTTGCTCCCTTTAGTGGACTCTCTGCTAAACGTTTGCTCATCAAAGTCTGACGCTGCCATGCACAGAGTTGTATTGCATCATTATTGCGGTTGTTGGTGTCTCATTACAAAGACAAGTTGTGTCGTTGCAAAGCTTCGACACTCACAGACGTTTAACCAGCAGGTATAAGATTCAGATTTGCAGTCGTGCTTGTGTTTCAGCCTGGAGTCCTGCTCCTGTACATCAAACCGTGGAGTGCTACTGCTAAATACACTTCCTCGTTCTTGCCGCATCCCATAGAGAGACATAGATTATTCAGTTCCATGCAAAATAGCAGCTTTATGACACTTGGTGAAACACAAAGCTCTCTCTCTGTTATGTGGTGTATGACATCAGGGCAGGTGACTGGTGTTTTTCAGAACGTTGCTAATAGTCTAATAACCTAAACGCATACTCCACTTGTTGCTTTACTGTGTCCACCACGTCTCTGACAACCAATCTGTCTGCTGCTGTTCTAACAATGCCTCGCGATTCAAATTTGATGATTTTACAATTTTAGAGCACGGCATTACATACACGTGGAAGAAGTATTCCGATCTTTAACTTGAAGTTGAGGTCTGCAGCATTGGAGAAACCAGCAAGAGTACGCTAGATTTTAAGATTTCTAAACTGAAAAACCCAGCCCAGTGTTGCCAAGTCTTTTCCAAATACAGTAGCTAGCAGCATTAGCTCCAAAAGTCGCTAAAACTAGCGAGAAAGTCGGCAACACTGACAGCCCGGCCCTTCATGGCCTCCCTCCAAAGACACTCTCCCACAATTAGCATTATGAATGTAAACATCGAGCTGAATAAAATGATTGAACAGATGTATTACAGTTGTTCAACTGCCACTGCCAGATTTTCTTTCTTTTTTTGTGAGAGCATTTGATCTATTGGTTGCTGTCGGGATGTTCTGAGAATTTCCACAAACATAACAAAAAATGTTTCTAAAATGCATCATCCACAATAGCTTTAAGTAAAAAGTACAAATATATTATCAGAAGTACAGTACTTGATTAAATGTACTGATCACTATGGAAAATATCAGAACCTATGCAAAGAGACATTTGAGGATCAGCCCAAAGAAATGTTTGTCTTTGTGTCACTTGTAAAAATGATGTCAAGCTGAAGTGATCACATGATGCAGTGGAAAAAGTCTGACTCCAGTCTTGTGATTCTGGACCAACAACAAATTAGTTTTACTTTATTTTGACTCAACATGTCTGCTAAGGAACTAAGCTTGTTAAGGAATTACGTTTTCAGAGGAACAGGAGGCCCCTCAGAGGGAGAGCTGGTCTAAAGTCGAGGCAAGGCCATCCTGTACATATGTTGGGAAGACATGCAGGGATGCTGCTTGTTAGGATCGTGCGCGTGTGTGTGCGTGTGTGTGCGTGCGGTGTAGAGGGGTGTTTTCCACTCTCTGAACCACCAGCGATTGCCACTTGGCTGCATGTCGTCTGTGCTGCCTTCACATACTGTCGGGAAGATTAGAAACAAGCACATGTGTAAGTCAGCATTATGAATATGACTGGGCTGGTTCAGAGTGCATAAACGTCATGTGAGCAGCTAATGGCCAAAAGGGTTGTGTGTACATATACAATCACCGGTTTAATCCTGTGTGCGCTTTGATTCTCCTTCCTGTTATTCAGAATTCTAAAAGCACAGACTGCAGGCATGGCCTCACGTATTCCTCCTTTATTATATGAACTAAAAGTTGTTAATTGGGTCCATCCGCTCTGTCGTATTCATTTAGTATACAATTTCCTTCAATAGTACTCGCAGCTTTGTAAGAGTGTTATAAACAATTGCTTTTTACCATTTTTCCGGGAGCACCTGAAGGCAGCATACATGGGGTCGTAAACCGATACGTTGAGGCGCAGCTCCGTGTGGATCCGAGCTGACTAAGCACAGAGGAGAGCCGACGCTGCTCTCCTTCTCCTTCTGTCTACACTTCAACCTTTTTTCAACTTTCTCACTCATACAAAGGGACCTGGTCGTGTTTGCGGTATTCAGCTGAGGTTTTAGCGCTATTTTGTACAGGTTTACGGTTAAAAGGAAGAGATAAAACTTAGTTGTACTTTGGACCTAGTTTGAAAGCCTGTCATAAAGCCCCAAAGTGAGTCCAGCGATATGGAGCGACGGTAAGAAAATAGGTTTATATTTGGAGTGTAATTGTATGTATTCGCTAAAGTATCCCTGATAGATACGATAGGCCGACAGCTTTATTAATCTAAACGGACCGTTAACAGTGAGGTTTATGCTCCACGTACCGGGTTCTACTGGGGGAGAGACTGCCTTTAGAGTGATGGGAGAGGTCTCCTACTAAGTGTGGAAAATATTGCTCCTTCATATGACCATCTTTTTCCATTAGAGGAAAAAAAATAACTTAGGAATAATATTCGCCTCTTCTCTCAAAGTGTGTGTGTGTGTGTGTGTGTGTGTGTGTGTGTGTGTGTGTGTATATATATATAGATAAATTATCACTATGCCAGAAACGTTGAACTTTTAAAAGGCAGTTCTGGAATATTTGTTTTATTTAGCAAAGAAAGAGGTTAAACATTTGAAATATATTGTTGACAAGATGTATAGTTGATTTGCATCTGAATAAGCATTTGTCTCTATATGATAAAGCAGAGTTTAGGTGCTCAGTGAGGTCAAACCTACTCTGACAGTATCAGTTCTCATCACTGATTTTTTGAGAAAATAAAAAAGTTGTCTTGTTTTGATTACATCATTTAATTTTGAATTTGAAATGGCTTTGGGGGGGGGGGGGGGGGATTAGTGGCTCAGTGGTTTGTACATCCCTCTGCACTGATGCTGATATTGATCTTTCATAACACTTCTGTATGAATTCTGTTCCTGATTTCTCTGATGTGGTGTACAGTTGTACCATCTGGTAGAATTTTCGGGCGGGACCACGCAGGTCCTCTGCTCCCTCTGCTGGAGTTGTTGATTCATGGTGCATTGTGAGTTTGAACAATAAGGCATTTTTCTCCGGCTATCACCACACACTTAAAGCCCTTGAAACACTGCTCTGTTTACACACTAGACGGCCATCCAGAAACACCAACAGGAGATTGTAAGGATGTGTTAATTGGTGTTAACACAGTGTTAGTGTTCTGTTTTTCAGTTTGATAAGCAATGCAAACAGTGTCTCTGTGGTAGTCGCCTCTCAATAGACACATCCTTTTTCAATGAGAGCGATGAGGGCATGAAGTTGGCTTGTTGAATTGCTTAACTGGCTGTCAAAGATACTTGAGTAAAGCTTTTTTTGAGACATAGCAAATTGCAGACATTCTCAGATTCAACCCATTCTTCTGCGTTGCTCCCAGAGAGACCTAACTTTACTTTTATGGGCCCGCCACAGTAAAAACACATTTGGTCCATTTAGAAGAGCTTTTGACGGATCCACAGATCACATTCCAGCCAAAACCTGTCTTCTCACGGCATGCAGATTACTGGGATGGATGATGTAATTATATCCAACCAATCCAAAGAATGATTTCATGAAACAGTGAAGAGGTAGTTTGAATTTCCCACCCTGCCGCCTACATGGGTGTGGGTGGCTGTGGCGTCTCAATGTGCTGGCTGAGCTGTGATGAGAGCATTGTGATGCCCCAAGGAGCCGCGGTCACGCCTGCTGGTGGTGTATTCAGGGAACACTGACACGCACAGTAGTTGTATCAAATATCTCAGGCTAGTGCCTGCTATTTAGCTCTGTAATGTAACCGCTCTACTTTGGGAAGCACTCTGTTGTGTTGCTATGAAGTTGGGATTTTCCTCTGATCTGCTTCCTTTAAAAAGCTCCATGCTAACTCAATGGAATGAGGCGGTCGTTTTGTTTTCGGGGTGGACCGAGGAAACAGAGCATGATGTTTGCCATTACGGCTGTAATTGTTGCTGCTGTAATGCTTGGCCTCTAGTCTCCACCCGGCTCGTCAACTCCCTGCCTCTCACTGAGATCTGCTGGGGAAAAGTCTCATCATACTCACACAGTCAGTTCAGGCCGTCAACTGAAACCTACAACCATCCTTCTGTGTTTACCGTTGTTCTCTCTTTATTTGTTATCTATGCAAGGCATGGGCTAATGGCTCTACTTGACCCAGCTGTGAACATGTGCCCGCCCCCCCTTGGTAGTGTGTCACATGTCAAGAATGTATCATCAGTTATTGTGTTTGCAAACATTCAGAAATATTATAGTGAAAACATTTCATCTCAGGTTTTTGTGTCAACAAGGCTCTCATCAACTTTGCATATGGATGTCAGTTTACCAGTTATAGAATGTCTCCTCTCTCTGTGGAGGAGCTCTGAGAACAGACCCCTGGTGATGTCATCAGGGTTGTTGTGTAGTTTGGGGGGGGTCTCTCAAGTCAGGGTGTCTCACAGATTGTTTCATGAATGTATCTCCTGCAAGACGTCCAACTTTGTGAAGCAAGCTATAAATCGTGTAGTTCATTTTGAAGGCTTTACCAGTCCCACCATCCTTGTGTTGAAGGCCTTCTGCCCAGCTGGACCTGAGCCGCAAGCGTGTCAGAGCTGCTGGCCCCTCAGACTCTATCTGCCTCGACAGTAAGCAGACGGGAGTCTCTGTCCGTCCTCCAGAGAGTCACGCTTGTCGTTGCACTCCTCTTCCTCGCGTCAGACAGTCGGGGTCGCTTGAGGTACTAGTGTGTTTAGAGCCAAAAGAATTCAACTTAACAAAACACTGATGGACGGATTCCATTTTTTATTATCATCGACGAAAAACTGAAATGAGAAAATGTATCACACAGAGACATGCAAAGAATGGATGCTACAGATCAAAATCAATCCACACATTCTCCCTCTTTGTCAAAACCAAATGCCACAAACATTACCCACAATGCAAAAGTAAAGAGAGCCACTAAACACAGTTGCCTGAAGATGTCATTTATTAGACATTTCACTGTGTGCATATATCTTTGTTAGTATGCTGCCCAAACAACGAGAAACTGTTCAATGCATTCAGCTACAAAGCGACTTTCCATTCCCATCAGCTCATTAGTTTTACTCTGGTCCTGATGTTTGCATTCTAAATGTACGCGGCAGACTGTCAATTAAGTGAGCTGCACTCAGTTTACTCCATAGTGTACGTTTAGCATGCGAGACAGGCAGCCTCATTAGTTTCTACCTAATGGTCTCTGGGCATTAGAGCCAAGTCTCACACAGTGTGTCTGTTTGAGATGGTTGTAAATAATGATATTCATGACAACACACATGTGCCTAAATGATGCCATGTATGTCTCTGTAAGTGGATCATCTGCTGTGAGTAAAGACGCTGCCTTCTCACTTTCATTGTGTTGTTATCTTGCAAACACACAGGTGTGGCTGTCTTCACCTCAGCCTGTTTAGTTTCTTTGGTAAGCAGTGGCCTACTTTCTGTTGTGCTGAGATGGAAGCAGATTTAAGCTTGGCACAGCCACAGATTAGTTATTGATTTGGATTGAATCCTTAACGCTTTCTTCTTTAAATTGCGAAACCAGCGTGTGTGTGAGCGTCGGACTGTAGTTTGAAGCAGGTGATGTCAGGTCTGTGAAACACATAAAGGAAGTGAAAGGATTGTGATCGTGACTGTGTTTATAATCAGTTAAAGGAATGTGCCCTGGAATATAAATATAAAAAAAGCTGTTTTTCCACTTTGGATGTTGTTGTGATCACTCAGTTCTCAAAGATTTAGTGAAGTTCCAGATGTGGTGTGGATGAGAGAACACAATGATCATAGATCGGATAGGTAAGGGATGTTTTTAATACTGTCCTCACTGGTACATTTTCAGCTCCTGGGCTGCTGCTGTTTTACTTTATGTTTTTGATTAAGACCATTTGTCAGTTTACATGAGTGTGGACCGCATGGACTGCTGAGCGCTCCACGTTCAGAAAGGATAGTTGTGCTGTGAAATGCAAGAGTATAAAACTGTAAAGTAATAATAGGAAGAGGTGTTGGTCAAAGTGCAGCACGATGTAAGAGGATCAAAGAGAGACTAGCGAACCGAGGGCAGACCATTGACACAGAGAGAACGGAGAAGCAGAGAAAGATGAGTAGACTGGAGATGTGTTCATTGAGCAGCGTCGGGTCTGAGTGGAAGCTTCACAGGGCAGAGACGGTCTAAACACAGAGAGACAAGGCAGTGCAGCTGGGAAAGATCCTGTTAACATCAGGATTAGTAGGGTCCTCTTAAGGATAAACTAATATTGAACTTAGTAACACCGGGGGTCGTTCTCTTTTCTGTGCCATTCATTTGCTCATCCATATATTTTTTTGCCCTGTTTTGTCACAAATACAAAACAAAATGCAAATATTACGCAGCGTAAAAGCTGCATACTTTTTTCCCGGAACGAGGTCCATTTTTTTCCTAAACTTTTGCACCGCGAATAAAAGGCATCAGCCAATCACATTATGCGGAACGGGTTGATTGGCGCCTATATTTATGTAACCACAACACGTAACATTTAGCATGTTGTTTATTCATGTGAAGGTCTTCAAGATGGTGAAATAGTTTGTTTTTAACCCTGCAGTCAGACTGTGTTAGATGCACTATGGCACTTCTTTGGTCAGTCAGTGGAAAACTGTTTCATACTCGATACATTTTGTATTTTTGTGTCTGTTTAGCCCAGACTGATGGACAACTTAAACTGAACTGAATTCTCAGTTAAAAGAGAATTGAAGCTCTCATCAGACGAGTTGATTTCATCCGTATCGCCGAGTCCAGTAAACTGACCCAAGAGTGGAAAAACACTGCTACTGTCACCTCACCAGTGTGTGATTTTCACTTTTCTTTTTCTGGAGTGGAGCCAGCTCCATTGTCCCCCGAACCCCATCAAAAATATGCTAGTTTAAGAAGCTTACGACCCTTTCCCAGACATGTATCGGTTTGGGTTTCTAAGTAGGTCTGCTCCTTCTTCTTTTTGTCTCGTTTTGAAGCTGAGCGGAGGATACTGGTATTGGATGTGGAGGATTCCTTTGTAGTTGCCTGGGAGGTGGCATTTAAGAAGGAAGCCTTCGCCTCAAGGAGACTACACATACATAAAGGAAGGGTTTGCATTAGAATGAAGCTGAAATGCACAAAGGGACAAGCCTGAGCTGCTTGTGTGGGGTTTCACTCCAGTCTACCAGAAACCAGCGTCAAACCCACATGTTCTGTAGCATAGTAAACAGCCATGTAAGATAACTAAGATGTGTCCTCCGTCCCTCAGTGTCTAAGAAGCACGGAAAGCTGATCACCTTCTTGCGCACCTTCATGAAGTCCCGGCCCACCAAGCAGAAGCTGAAGCAGAGAGGCATCCTCCGGGAGAGGGTGTTCGGCTGCGACCTGGGAGAGCACCTCCTCAACTCGGGACATGATGGTGAGATACATGCAGACACACCTGATGGCACTAGTGTTTTCTGGACCCATTTATGCTTGTTTTTTTAAACGCCATAAATTCTCAAATAGTAGCCAGGGCCCTAAATTACCAGACATTAGAGACCGGCCTCGAGTCTTAATTTCACCTGCTCCCTGGTTAATGCAAACTCTAAACCTCCTCCATGTTTACCTGTTGACTTGATGAGTTCATCATTGTGTCCCTTCCAATCATGTCACACTTACTGCTATACTCGATCCATTTCCAGTCAATTCCACTTTGCAATCGCTGAAACTTGCATATGGAGCAACATCCAGCAGCTGGCTAGCCTAGCTTAGCACAAAGGCTGGAAGCACGGGGGACAGCTAGCTTGGCTCTATCCAAAAGTAAGATTTGAGAATTGATGGGATTCAGAAGTGCAAGACACAGTCGGGTTCTTTAGACTAGATTCCTTGTCCCAGAGGAAGATTGTTTTTCCTGCCCGTGCAACACAGGAGCATACAGATATGCACAATAGATACAATGATCATGAATACATTAATGCTCCGTCCATTATCCCTGCTCACATTAGTGTCAGTGAGGCAGTTTGTTCAGGGCTTTCATGGCAGAAAGGACAAAACTCTCCATTTTAAAGTCCTGTAGCCCTGTCCCAGATGTGACAGTGGAGCATCATGACCATTAGCCTCAAATTATGGAACATAATAATGTTTAGCATATACCAGTGATGACATATGACTGCCAGTGTTCAATATTTGTTGCAGAAAATGTTACCACCCCAAACACACCTGCTCCTCCATCCATTCCAGTCTGTGAGCTGATGGTTTTTATATGAAGTCATCATGAACCCTTTCAAATACACACCACACGCTGTTTGTAACCAGCAGCTCATTCCAGCTCTGTGTAGTTCTAGTTAACATATTTGCTGGGCTAAAATCCATCCATCCATTTATGTGCTAAGGCTCAATGAGGATGATGGTGTCCTCATCACACTGTGACATCCGCTCCACCCAGCGTAATGATCAATAACCTCATTTCAGTTCATGTTGACAGCAACTTGAAAAAGTTCTTAATGTTAATGGTTCTCAAATGGGCCAAATTGATGCATCACAATTTGAATGATTTTTGATTATTCACTTGCCTTCGGTACAAACTATTTTTATTGCAGTTTCACCTTTCACAGAGCACTGCTTTGACTTCCATGTTGTGCTACATTCCTGCTAGTTCACACATCTTGGATTAAGACACAAGGTACGGTTCTGCTTCGCCTGAATTCAGTGAGAGCAGAGTCAGGAGACGGTCAAACAAGTAATGGACAGTATATGACTTGTCTCCTCTGGACTACAACATATAGTCCAGCTTTTTCACTGGCTGCCGCTGTAGGGCGGCAGCATGACAGCTCCCGAAAAGTGAAGCCAAAACATCTCAATTTCCCATATTGATTTGATATGTAGCGGCGTTGGCGATATGCAGTCGGATCACCCATGTTGATGCCAGGTGTGAACGCTCCTTATTCTTTGTCTGGATATTAATGTCATCGTACCATTGGCTCACAGCGATCAGTCCTGTCCTTTTAAACCAGCATCTAGCAATGGAAAGTAAGAGCTAAAAGCCTGTGCTCCATGAAATCTATGTTTCTTTCATAAATCTCCATCAAAGCCTCTAGTTTTGAGTGGCATGTTAGAGACAAAGGGATCTGACTTAAGTCAGTTTGAGCTTTCAAAGGGAGCCAAACCAGCACATCAGTTGAACGTTCTCCTGCTTTGAATGCCGTTGTTTGAACTAGAATTTAAGAGTATTTATTCTTGCTGTGTCCAACCCTAACTCCACATTCAAAACACGTGTCGTGTGTCTTTTGTGATAAGAGGACGTAACAACAAAAAATGTTCCTATGTGAAGAATGTCAGGATTCTCTGCAGCAGAATGTGGTTTCCTCAAACCCCGGCCTTGTTTTCTCCTTCGCTATGTGCGGAATTCGACTGAACAGCTGCTTCGGCAAGTGTCCCACTCTCTGTCGTCCTCTGAATGATGTGTGAGCTGTGGGAGGCCTGGGAGTCTTCTTATACACATACACACCATCCTTATCTACCACACACACACACACACACACACACACAGATAAAAAGCAGGTCTGCATGATTCATGGTTAACTGAAGGGGAATTAGGAAGTTCTATTTCTGAGTTTCTTTTCTTTTGGTCAGTCCCAGCTCTCACACACAATCACTGGTATTGTGCTTTGAAGCCGAGTGTGTGTGATTGGCTGCCTCAGTCAAACACACAGAGCTGCATGGATGTAAAAACTGGGTTAAAGGGAAACCAAAGGCACCAGAGAAAGAAGACAAATATTTGTCTAAAGCTCTTCAGGATATATTGGTCTCTCCTTTACATGGGTCAAATGTTTCTGCCCTCAGCTTTTCCTTCCGAAAGCACTAGAACGTTACTCACTGGGTAATCCCTCTGAGCCCAGAGCTCTGGCCTAACTGCTCTGTACTCGGCTCTTCAAAAAGGAAAGTCGTGGTATTCTTGACCCTGAAGCTCTATATTGGCGGATGTTATGTGATGACATGCTGTGTTTTTTTTCTCTCTCTCTCTCTCTTCGCAGTGCCCCAGGTCCTCAAGAGCTGCACCGAGTTCCTGGAGAAGCACGGCGTGGTGGACGGCATCTACCGCCTCTCTGGGATTGCTTCAAACATCCAGAAGTTGCGGTAGGAGACACGCTGCCCGTTAAATACAGCATTTGATTCAATTCACTGCATCTGTAAAAGAAAGAAAAGCATCAGGATGACGTGCAGTGTAACAGATTTTACTATGTAATGTTGTCAGAGCAGAATAAGATTTTTCAATTATTAGTGTAAGCTAAGCAATATTAGCTTTAAAAAAAATAAAAGTTAAACCCTGGGCTTTGCCTCTCAGGCCACATACATACACATACGCTTATATATTCAATGTGGAGTCTGCAATTCTGGAAAAAGATTTCTGATATTTGAACTCAACACTGCCTCCTCTGTATTCACATATTGGTATTTTTGGTTGAGAAAACCTCAACCTTGTGTCCTCTCACGTCTGAAACCACACAACACACTGCCCATGTGCAGTCTGAGGTGACAGTCTTCCTAAGTAGCCTTAAGAAATCTTAAAAGGGATAAATTCATTCATCTAAATAAAAAAATGTAATTAGTTGGTAGTAAAATGTCTAAAATCAATCTGTCAAGTCTTAAAAAGCAGGATTTGACGAATACTTTTTTTCTAATCTCAATTTATTTAAAAACAAATAATTTACAGAATGTCTGTCGCATTAATGTCATGCAGAACCAACAACACTCGGGATGCTTAAAGCAGTTCCTGTAGGAACCCTGGATTAGATTATTACTAAATGTGACTATTTTTAACTTGACTAACAGAAATGTTGTGTTGGCACAGATCAATCCTTTCTAAAACACAACTTAAATTCAGGGAGACTTTTTTCCCATGTCTCGTATCCCTCCACCAAACCACAGCAGTCGTTTATTGATGCACCTTTTGTTCAGAAGAAGCACATTTGTTGACTCTACCTTTGCCCTCTTTCTCTTTCGCCAGACACGAGTTTGACTCTGAGCAGATCCCCGACCTGACCAAAGATGTTTACATCCAGGACATCCACTGTGTGGGCTCGCTGTGTAAGCTCTACTTCAGAGAGCTGCCCAACCCCCTGCTCACCTACCAGCTCTACGAGAAGTTCTCCGTAAGCATGGCCTCAACTCAACACTCCTCCCACACCAATCTCTTGCTTCTGCTATTACAGCACGTGATTGTTAGCTTGCTTTGAGCTTCTGTGTCAGTGTTTAGTTTGGCTGCTATTATAGATTCAGTCTTAGTCTTTAGTCCAAAATGCTGATTACTTTTAGTCTAGTTTTAGTCAATGAAAAGTCATTATAGTAAACTTTTAATCAAAATGTTTTCTCTCTTAATTTTGTCAGCTACCTTTTAGTTTGATTTTTTTCATTTTAGTCATCAGATTATATTTAACATTTCAGTCAGTCTAGTTTAGCACAAACTAATAGTTTTGTCCTTAAGTCAAACTTTTAGTCACATTAGATTTCATTCTATTGTCATGGAAAACACGGTTTGAATGATTAGGAAGGCAGCTTTGCTCACTAGTGATGCATGGGTCAGTCCAGTCACACCCACCTGCCTGTTCAATCAAACAATATGTGTTGGTCAACCACCTGAACCCGGCCCGCAAACTTTATGCATTGAAGTGGCACGAGGACAAAGACAGACTGAGCTCACACTGAGTTTGACACCGTTGCACGTTTCACATCGTCACCTTTAGTTTTAGTTGATGTCGGTGCCGTCTGGTCTGGAAATACAGGTGGCTGATAAACATGTTTCATCCTAGTTCACACTGTTCAGTGGTTACTGATGCCCCGGAAGGACACTGATTGGGTGTGACTAACTGCTCGTTCTCTAAGCAAAGAAAGGGAATTCCTTTAATTTCTCTGATAGGAATTCGGCAAATTTATCTTGCAGTTATGAATCACAGACACCCTTGAAATAATAGCATTGTACTCGACACACCCTATCATTAGAAATGTAGTCCTCTGTGTCACCTGGAATAAGAACTTTGTCCAAGCACAACAAGTCCCTGAAGATGAAGGAAATGTTTGCTGGTTGTTATGGCAGCTGGGGAGAGGCTGTGGCTGCAGACTGATGTCCCCTCTGTGCTCCATGTAGCAGCGCCAACCAGGGATGACAAATGAATGAGCTTAACGTTGTTGATACGCTGATACAACTATTTATCTCGCCATCTCTCCCTTTTGTTTTCACCCTGAAGGATGCTGTATCAGCAGCGACAGACGAAGAGCGACTCATCAAAATCCATGATGTCATCCAGCAGCTTCCTCCACCGCATTACCGGTCAGTGTAGAGGCACACTGCCCCCATGTGGCAGGCTCGGCAACTGCCAGAATGCAGACGCGGGCTCGTGTCGTATATTCACATCAGTCCGGTGTCTGTTAATGTCAAAATCAAGGGTTTTCCTACTGCCACACTGCATTGAGTGGAACCATTTAACAGGTCCCAGCTGGTCTGCGTTGATGATGAATGGAATTTCCCGTCCTTCTGTGAAAGCATACAAATGCAGATTTCTAAGTGACATTCCTCTGGGGCTTTAGCACATAGTGAAATATTGATGCTCTGAAGAAAGAGCTCTATCGCAGCCATTAGTCTGCACATCACTAGTGGGAGCTAATTAAACCTGAATAAATGAATATTTGATTCCTAGGACCCTGGAGTTCCTCATGAGACACCTTTCCCACCTCGCAGCGTTCAGCTACATCACCAACATGCACAGCAAGAACCTGGCCATCGTCTGGGCGCCCAACCTGCTGAGGTGAGACGCCGTCCCGCTCAAAAAGAATGTCCTTTACATGCTTGTTTTGCAATGTGGGGAATATACTGTCAGTCATCACCTGAAAGCTGTTTCGACTACTCGCATTAAGGATTTCTCAGACTTGAATTGGCTGCGATAACGGGCTGTGCCTCCTGCTTTAAATGAGTCTTCTACCTGAATGAAAATGATTTAAGCAGCTGTTTGTGGGAGGATGCTGATCAACACAACAACAAATGCTGGAAATGCATCCCAAAATAATTTTAGCAACTTAAACTCTAAGCATTTATACGTTTGATTCTCTACCTTAAAATGTTACGCTTGTTTAAAGTGGAGCACTCTCTAAATCGAACACAATTCTTCAGGTCCAAACAGATAGAATCTGCCTGCTTCAGCGGCACAGCAGCCTTCATGGAAGTCCGAATCCAGTCGGTGGTGGTGGAGTTCATCCTCAACCACGTGGATGTTCTCTTCAGCACCAAACTCAGCTCACTAATACGCGAGGGAGCTGGTACGTACTGCTCTCGTTGTCATTCCTCTACCCGCTGCTGCTTCCTCCAATAAACACTGTCCCACATCACCAGGTCACAACTCATTGTCGCGGCCCAAATCCCTGCTGGTTTCATCGCCCTCCACTAAACTGCTGAGCCTGGAGGAGGCCCAGGCCAGAACCCAGGCTCAGATCAACTCTCCAGTCACTGAAGACAGCAAGTACATCGAGGTGGGCGAAGGTCCGGCTGCCCTGCAGGGAAAGTTCCACACTGTCATCGAGTTTCCCACCGAGAGGTTTGTTAACTCCTCTTACTGATATTTCATTTGATGAATGTGTGCCTTCAAAAAATCAATTAGAATCAAATTTAGACACTTTCGATATGTATCTGTAGAATGTGTTGCAGAATACTAGCATTTTAATACCAGTTGAGCCGAGATAATAATGCTGGAATGTGTCTCCATCTGCTGGTTGCTGTTAGGACTGCAGGCAGTCGTTTCTTCCTGCACCCAGTTGCCTGCGTCTCCGGTTACAGACTTAGCTTAAAACAGAAAACTGTCTTTGGTCATTTTCATTCCTGTGTCTAAATCTGTCATTGTGTATGTGAGTCAGTGAAACTAACCTTTCGTTGCCCGCTTGCCCTTCACCATTTATTAATCATAGGAAGAGGCCTCCTATTAAATCCAAGAAGTCTCCTGTGGGTAGTTGGCGTTCTTTCTTCAACCTCGGCAAGTCTTCCTCCATGTCCAAGCGCAAGCTGCACCGCAACCCCAGTGAGCCCAATGAACTGAAGGCCATGGCTCTCGCTGGTGAGTCCTTCCTCCACAATATGAAAGAAAATTGTCAAACTTTAACCTTACAATTGCTGAAATGAAGGAACAACAGTATAGCGTTGTCCGTATGAGGAACAGAAAAGCGTATGTGACTAAACAAGGCTGAAACCTTTTCATCACTGTGTTTCAGGAGGCAGAGGAGACACGGCAACATTGAGATCAGCCAAAAGTGAAGAGTCCCTGAGTTCCCTGCACAATGTTGACGGTAATCATTTGTGTCTTCCAGTTCACTTTTACTCAGAATAGCAAGTTTAATCAGTCATATTGTTTTTCAAATGCTCTACAGTGTAGCCTACTGTTATGCTTAGGGCCTGATAAAAGAAATAGTTTCTGATTATATTCTGTTGCTGCTTTAGGAGAGTCCAAGGTGTACCGTCCCCGGCGGCCGCGCTCTAGCAGCGACGCCCTGTCGGCCTCATTTAATGGCGAGCTGCTGGACAGCCGGCAGCACTGCAACTCCTACGACAACCTGGTCGCCACAGAGGACAGCGACGGAGACGACGGCCCCATCTGTGTGCCTGCACTCATCTCACCTCCCCGTTCAGCGGGTGAAGACGTGGACCTCAGCCCGCCGGACATCGGCATGGCCTCATTGGACTTTGACCCCATGTCTTTCCAGTGCAGCCTCCCCGACACCTCCTATGCCTTCCCCCTAAACGACTCACCCGCCGGGGCAGAGGGCTCCATGTTAAAGAGGAGCCCCAACAGCGTCTGCGGCAAGACCAACCGCTCTGACTTCATCTCTGCCACCTTCCTGGGCGGCTTGATGTCCCCTTTGTTGTCCGCAGACTTCAGCCTGGCTGCTGGAGAGAAGGTGGCAAACAAGAAACTGACCACTTCCTATTCTTACACCGATAAACCCACACAGGCTGTGTCGCCTATTAAATGTGGAAAGACGCTGTTTGCCACTTCGGAGCTTTTCTCTACAGAGATGCCGGACAAGAATACGGCTGGACAGTTTGCCTCTCCACAAGCGTTATCACCTCCCTCGGCAGCCAAAGACTCTCCTCCCCTGATGGGAAGTGTGCTGCTGAGGGCGGCCGAGCCGTCGCTAAGTGAAGCTTTCCAAATGGAGCTGCACTCTAAGCTGGCGGCCTTTGACAGCGCGGACAGTCGAGAGCTGAAGGGAGAGGACGGCGTGCAGCAGTCGCTGGTTGCCAGCAGCCAAGAGCACCAAGGTAGGGAGCAGAGAATGACCTTTTTAAGTGTAGTGTTTGGTGTTTGCCACATTTCTGCCTTGACATTGCTTTGTTTACACTATTTAGATTAAGAATAAGGTCATAAATTGTGCCATTAATTATGACTTTTTTTCTAGGTTTAGTTTTCCAGGTTTGCATGCATTTCATCTTAAACAAACCTTTTCATGTGAAGCCCGAGCACCAGGCTTAACTTTTCCCCTCATTCCCTTTCCCGAGGCACCTTAAAACCAGCCTTCCTGCTGTCGTTTCTTCTCTTCACCTGCTGCTCTCTTGCTTATTCCTTCTTCAACTATAGACCCCTTGTGTTTTTGTGTCATAGCTCCGGACTCTTCAAAGGACCTCACCCCTCGTTCCCTCAGCGCTACAGCTCCCACTACCGCCCCTCCTCCCCCCCCTCCTAAAAATGCTGCCCGCATGTTGGCCCTGGCCTTGGCCGAGTCCGCTCAGCAGGTTTCCATTCAGGCTCAGTCCCGGTCCTCTGAGCCCTCCACGCCGACGTCCCCTCTGCAGCTTCAGGAGGCCTCTAACTTCCAGGAGTCGACACATCCACTGTTCCCACTTTTCCGGACTTCTTCCGAGGAGGGAGCAGGGAGAGGGAGTTCCCCGCCACCAAACAGCACGGCCCCGGCCTCAGCGCATCCCTCCGCCTCCAGTCCTACAATCAATCAGCAGCCTCTAGAGCTCACCAGCGCGATCACCAAGCCATCGGACAACACCAAGTCCTCTACAACCCCACCAGACACTCCTTTTTACAAGTGTGCCCCACTCCCCAGTTCAACCAGCCTGACTTCTCCAATCAGGAGAAGTCCAGAAAGGCAGCAGCCTGTCACGGGACAGGTCCCAGTCCGTACCAGCTCACCAAGTACCACTCTGGCCACCTTCCCCAGCGGCAGCTGCAAAGAGACTGGAGTCTTACCACAGCTTGTTCCTGAGGTAAGTGTCATATCACTGTCATATGTAGACTACTACTACTTTTACATTATTAAGGTAAGCATGATCCAAATTGATTAATATTTCATCTGCAGTATAACATGAGCAAGTTATCGTATTTTGAGAAGTATGCTGACAGTGATAGGATTAATATCACTTTCATCTCTGTACATTCAATATTAAGCTACAGCCAGCAGACTGTTAGCTTAGCGTAGCATAAAGATTGGAAACAGCTAGCCGGGTTCGGACACTGTTTTTTTGTACAGATTAAACAAACAAGATGTAACGTGTTAATTAGTTGTAGCTTTAGAGGACATGTTAGTTGGATTTTAACGTTAACAATCAACTGTTTTCAGTCTTTATGCTAAGCTACGTGTCTCTTGGCTCTACCTTCATATTAAGCATGCAGACATGAGTGATTTCAATCTTCTGATCCAACTGTTCCTTTAACTTGAATATATCTTTTGATTAATTAGGTCCCAATATCATGATTAGGAATGATCTGTACTCTTCCACAAAAGGAAATTTCACTGACAGTGTTTTGACTACTGTCACTTATTTAAGTGTTGTATTATATACACGCAAACTACACTGTACAGTGATGGTATGTAACGATGTATATTTACTCGAGCACAGTACAATAAGTAAAGTTAAAGTGTGTCAAAATTGTACTTACGTATTTCCATTTTATAGAACTTCTACTCTACTCCATCTCAGAAGCAAATATTGTACTTTTACTATGCATTTTGTGCTTTTACATTTTTAATTCAGAAATTTTACTTATATTGGAGTATTTTTAGAATGTGGTATTTTGACTTTTACCTAAGTTAAGAACCTGAGTGTATGATAAAATGTTTGTGGCAGACAGAAAAATACCAAATGTGTCAACCCTTTTGCCATGTGGGTCGTCAGTGTAGTTTATTTGATGCTATGATTATTTCTATGGTATTTTTGCCTGCATAGATATGGAGAGATGATAACAAACAGACATTAGGAATTGATGCTGCAGTGGAACTACCCCATAACTAGACTGGTGACACTGTACAGCTTGTTTTCCTCAGGAAATGAGTCTGTTCTGTTCTGATTTGTCTCAGGTCAAACTAGAGGGGACTAAACCCCCCCCAGTCCTTCCAAAACCCACAGAACAGCCACCTCAGAAGCCCAAGAGGCAGGCTGTCTCACTGCCCCAGCATCAAACACAAACTCAGCAGCAGAGCCAAGCTCAGATCCCGCCTCATCTTCCACCACAGCCTCACACGCAATCTCAGACACCGGTCCAACCCCATACCCAGCCCCCCTCCAAGGCCAGCGCAAGAGTGGCCCCCACCTCTGCTGAGCCTGTTGAGAAGCCTTGGGAGGCCATAAAGCCGGTACAGCCCTGTACAGAGCCTGCAAAGCACCAAGACGCGTACGTACCCAAGCCTCCGGCCCCTCCTGTCCGCACCATGGAGAGCAAACTGGCCACAGCGGCTCTCAGCCAAAGTGAAGCCTCCTACCATATCCTGGGTGAAGGGCCTGTGCCTGGCCATCTGGAGGATGCTCTGCCTCACCATCCTCCTTCCCCTCACAAATCTTCCACGCACCAGCCGGCCTACCTGTACCAAGCTAAAGGAGAGCCGGTCTTAATTGAGCCGCCTGGAGCTGCATACTACCACCAGAGGCCTGTTCCGCTGGGCCCCCAGTCCGTGCTACACCACTTCCGGCCTGACAGCGTCCCCCCACACCTGTCCTACGTGTCCAAATCAGAGCCTCAGATCCCTTACAGTGCCCGACTGGACAACAGATACAGCACTTTAGGCCCCAGGTCCTACCACCACTCCATGAAGTCCAGAGGAAACCCCCGCAGTGTGTACGTGTCTCCGGGGCCTGGCCATCAGGGTTACAGCCATGACAGAAACCAAGGCTATCCCACCATCCGCAGAGTGCACTCACTCCATGTCCCTTCCACTATCCGCTCAGTGCCCATCCAGAGGACCGAAGTTCCTCCAGATGACGAGATGTTCTTCTATCAACGGCCCGTGTATCAGTGCAAAGCCTACCAGCAGCCCCCGCAGCAGTCTTCACAAACAGACTACCACGTCACCCAGCTGCAGCCTTACTTCGAGAACGGACGGGTCCAGTATCGCTACAGTCCATACTCTGGTTCAAGCCCTTTGGAGGCGCCTTACTATGACATTGACCCTTACGGCACCATCCGAGTCCGCCACGTCCACTCCCATAGCAGCCGAGATCCGGGAGCCGCTGCTGGTCGACCGGGTGGAAAGGCGACTGGGTACCACTACCTCGCTCGCCATGTTCTCCCGCCGGGGAAGGAGCACAGCTTTGTGAGCAGGGACATGCCCCCCGGTTACGGGACCAAGGAAGCTGCTGCTTACCTCGCTTGGGACCCCGAGGAGTCAGAAAGGCTCCGCATGCACTCCATCCGCAGGGAGAGCAGGGCCAGACAGAAGATCAAGGGCCCCGTCCTTTCTCAGTATGACAATGTTGGCTTGTTTGCACCCTCTGATATATCAGGCTATGAAACCCTGCACCTGCGCAGTAAATCTGACCCAGGCAAAGCTGTGCTCGTCGCGGCCGAGAGCAAAGATGGGCGCTACCTCCCCAGACACATGGTGTCCGACCCCGATGTCCTCATGTACATGGAGACCGACAAGCATGTCCAGGGGGGCGCAGTGGGCGACAAGTCCGACGGGCTCGCCAAGCAAAGCGGTTCCAAGAAGTGCCAATCCTCTCACTCCCTTCCAGCTACTCTGAGCCACAGTCTGTCCCATCAGCAGGAGAGTGGCCGGCACAAGACCGGAGACGACAAGCCCGGTGGAGACGGCAGCCGGTCTCAACACTGGCAGCAGGACTTTCCCAACAAGAGGAACTTCCAACCACACTACGAGTGTCCTGATTCTGACCGCCACCAGAGTAAAGTGAAAACATCCAGCGGCTACCACATTACGGACGAGCAGCCGTCGGCCCCCAGGGAACAACTCGGCCGCTCCAAACTAGAGCGATCGCACAGTGTCCGGGAGCAGCAGCTCTACAGCCAGGGCAACCCCGAACTGGACAGCGACTACTCGTATCAGAAACACGGCGCTAAACCGGTGCAGTCCCACTACGATAACTTAGACGATTACCACCCAGTACCTCAGCCTCAGGCTCCTGTTCAAAAACGTGGAGGACCCTATCCCGGCCCAGGGTTCACCGTGAGCCACAGTAATAGAGCGTACTCCACAGCACTGGGCCAGGGAGCCTTTCTCCAGACTGACCTGCTCATGCAGAGGCCAGAGACAGAGATACGTACAGAATGAAGCATTCGGGGGGGG